ACGTGCCCGAGTGGTCAAGGGGCCAGGTTTAGGGTCTGGTATGGGAACATGCGTGGGTTCGAACCCCACCGTCACCACTTTCATATATTTTTTTCTTTAACACATAAAAAATGACACAAGGACTCATGACACCGCCTTTTCCCTACTTGTTTCGTTAGTATATAATTTTTGTTTTTGTATGAAAGAGTAATTTATGTTTTCCTATATTAAAACGTTCTATAGAAAGTAAAGTACCCATTATCATTATGTTCAGAATGAACGAGCTGGAGGATTTGGTTCTTACTGATTTAGTGTAACAAGGTTACTTATTATTCAACAAAGTGATAGGGTATCCAGGATTAAGTTTATCACAAGTCACATGAATTTGGATTCCAAAGACGCACAACCCGTGAGCACAAGCCCATAAAATTTGATTGTGAATATAAAAATCTACACATTAATCTGCATAAAGACATTATGACACCCCAGCCATTAATTTAAAAAACTTTGACAATAAAAAATAATTACTATATACTACTATTATAAAATTTATTCACTAAAGATAATTATAAAATTTTTAATATCATAGTGGAACAAGATTATCTATTACATACATACATACATATATATATATATATATATATATATATATTAATATATATTAAAATAAATTGCAAAAAAAAACTGTTTAGCATAAGTAACTATTTTTTCTGTATATTATTACTTCCGCCAGAATTACCCAATAACTCTTGCATTCTTTTCTGAGTCTTTTTATGTATGCGTGTGTGTGTTATATATGATGAATTGCATTAATAAAAATGTGTATAAGAATAGTAAAAAAAAATTTTTTTAATGATAAATATATTACAGTACCTGAGCAGAAATATAATGGAATGTAGCTTCATTAACCCAATCCTGTTTATAAAATTCCGAATATCTTTGTTCCTCAATATTTACCCTACTATCACCTAATATAATCTAAAAATATTCAAATTATAATGGTTTAATGATAATATTAACAATAATATTAAATATAAACATTAAACACTACTAACCTCTAAATCTCTACTTTGACTAGCAATCCATTTATTAATAAATTCAATTGGTGAATTTGCAAAATTTAGCAAGAAATCCCGTTTTGCTTTTGAATTGTTTATACTTTGAATACATTGAACAATCTTTAATGGTTGTGATTGAATCGGTCGAAGGATGTTAAATTAAAATGTTTAGAAAATAAAATGATAGAAGATTAACCAAAAAAAAAAAGTTTTAAAGAAATAAAAACCTTTTCATCTATACTTTGAACTTCTTTTTGATTCAAAGTATTTGATGCAATGGCTGCCAGTCTAATTTTGTTTGGATCATCAATTTCAACTTGAATGTCATATGCATAATGTGACTGATTATATTCCTTATCAGTACTATTTTAAAAAAATTTATATTTAAAGATTAATCATACATTATATTTAATATTATGTATGTATATATGTATATATATATATTATATTTATTTACCAAATAGTATATTCTATACAAATTGGTTCAATGGGAAATAAATGTCGATTGAGTAAATCTGGAATTTGTGGAAAAGCCATTCTTTGACAATTGAAAATCTAAAAAGGAAGAACAATATGATTTATTTCCATATAATCATACCACCAATATTATTAATATATTACTTACTTGTTGTAATGCGGCATCATTATTTATTATTCTTTTATCATCATTGTCCTGTAAATTATGATGCTAAATCATCAATAGAATAAATAGTAAATAGATTAGGTTATATTGGATTGGATAATCCAACAAAAAAAACCCTTTTATAGTCCTATAAAAATGTTTAATACCTTAATGTACTGCCATAAAATCATTATTACACCAGATTTGGATTCTTCTTGTACATCCAGCAGCTCTGCCAATTCTGGTGATAATTTAAACTTTTGTGGGTCTAAATCCAAGTTAAAGTATATTTTTGCTCTCACATTAACATCTCCTTTTCGTTTAATTTCAAATCCATCAACGTCTTCAAAATTTAAAGGTTTATTCCACTTTTATTGTAAAATAACCAAAAATTTTTTTAAAGGTAAAGAAAACATATATTAGATAGGATCGTTATATATGTGTGTGAGTGTGTGTGTGTAACATATATTGTTATTAATTCTTGCCTCGATGATGTTTCCATCTGGATACAATTCTGGATCTCTGTCTAGCTCCACAATTATTGATCTAAAGAACGAAGAAAATTTACGTACGGACGGTTTATTGGTTTTGGAAGTTGAGTTTGAGTTTGAAGGCTAACGGAAAAGTCATTTTTATTTTTGAAATGAATATAAAATATTATTATTTTTATTATGTTATGGAATAATTAATTAATAGTGTACAATTAGCTTACATCTAACAATCTACCCTCAATTTTTAATGTCCAGGCTGGAATATTACTACTATCACCATAATTTACATTACTATTAACATCTACTGCACCTTCAACGCCTTCGCCACCTTCACTTTGCAATTGTGTTTGTGCTTGATTAATAGAAATATTAGATAAAAATATTCTAAGTGTACGTTTAACCTAATAAATAAACAAATCAATTATAATTAATAAATTGTATAACACATACACAGATAAAATAATAAATACCTTCATAGGTTTTGAAATTGCCTCTTGTATTTCAAGACGTTTTCTGATAATTGTTGCATCTAATCTTCTTTCAAAATCTTGAAGTTCTGTATACAAGCGTGACTCTGGAACAAGATTATCAAGCTATACACATATGCGGGTGCGTGTGCATAACGCATTTATATTTGTAGATAATTAATAAAATGTAATAAAGATCAGGTAACAAATTATTATAATTTAATCAACCTTTTCTGGCATGTTCCTATCAATGGTTCTTTTTTTCCTATAAAATAAAAACCAACTCAATTTATAAATTATAAACGTATAAATAATTACAAATAATTAAGTTACTTTGTTTGTTGTTGTTGTAAATTAAGAAGATTATTAGGATCAGGATTGTTTCTTTTTCTTACAATCGTAGCTATTGCTGGTGAATTAGTAGCATGTTGTTGCATGTTTTGATATTGGCGAGAATAATTGGAAGACATTTTTGTAGTATGCTATCAAAAACAATTTATTTGCTCGAGACAAAATGATAAACGTATGTTACACCAACAACAATTTAATAATTTATAACAAGTAAACCTTATTACACTAAATCAGGAAGATCCAAATCCTCCCTATAGCTAATTGTGGCTTCATAGAAA